GCTGACACCGGGACCACGGGACCGCGCGTGGCGAGGCGTGAGTCATCGATAGTCTACACTCTCAAAGACTCAAGCCTTAACGGTATCGACTGATTGCAGTTGATTGGGCATAAACCTTGTCGTCAATATATAAAACCGGCATCTGTCCAAAAGGCATTTCTGTGGAGGAAGAAGTATCAAGTATCAATATGTTGGAGTAGGCTTAAAACTTGAAATACAATTACTATATTTAAAAGGTTACTCACTGCTTTTAACCTTCTCAAACTGATCATCGTCGTAGCGGATATCTTCCCACTTAATATTGCCATAGGCGAACAGGAATCTGATGGGCTCCCCAAGGGCGGTGACATCGAAGTAGTGGAGCGTGTATTTGGGTGCCATGGTTGCTGAAATCAAACAGAGGAGCGCCATATGGTAAGGTGGCGGGTCTTCGTCTCACCTAAATGCTAAGCAAGTTCGACAAGTCGTAACTGTCAAGTCACCGCCTGACTTAGCGGGGGAAAATGTATTCGTGACTGTACGCCATGCAATATCCAGCTCAAGGCAGGTCACCGGCTTCACACAGGTGTTTGGCGGGATGGCCTAACCAGCGTGTCACAGGAGCCCTTATTTAGCGTATAGCTACGTCGTCCTTTTACCTTTATTTTTCAAAATCTATTCAATAACTTTGAATTAAAAGGCATTACTTGCAGACACACTGGCATTACAGGCACACAGAAGTCCGCCACTAGTCACAATGGTTGTCCTAAGACTTTTACAGTGTAGAGCAGAAGAACAACTTACATTATTATGGATTGATCGTGGGTCGTTTGATGTCTGGTTGACGATGGCTGTCGTCCTGGTGCTGGCGCTGAAGTGACGACGATCCAAACCGTGGTCGGTGTATTTATTCCGACCGTCCACACCACTCAGCTAAGCCCCCCCCCCCCTCAGCACTTCTACAAACCTCGCAAGCCCGAATAATTTATCCTGAAATGGTGCATTTCCCACTATGGCCAGCAGATAATACGAATGGTACCCACACACACATGGGCCGGGCACCAGTTGCGACCAGAGCAACTAACGAGATATTCTCTTTCTGGCGATCCACGGCGAGTCGAAGGCGATAAGACTCGCTTCGGGGCACTTGAGGCTTCTTCAAGAGAATTGTGAAGTGTTTTATTCATACTTTAAAGTACTCACAATATCAGCATGAGCGATAAAGTGGCGCAGCCTCTAACGCAAGCGACAAGACTATCTAGAAAGTGTGCTGAATTTAACGAGCACGGTGTTAGCGTAGAGCGCTGCGGTAGCAAGGCTAACTGACTCTAGACGTTCATTTTTAGACGATCCCGTTAGACTCGGCTCGGTCTCAGCAGAGACGGACGACGGCAGCGCTCGGCAGACGCGCGTGCCAACGCGCCACATAGCTCTGTACGGAAAACATTTTTTAGACAGTTTTTAGTCCAGAAAACAAAATTCAAAACCGATAATAGTTCAGCTCTAGAAATTGCTCTTTGCTCTGTGAAATTATTTAGTCTAGCCTTTCTGACATAATTTGATTGGTTCGACCATATTTAGTTATTTAGCTATGTAAAGGGACGTATCGTGAGAACTGATGATACAAATTTAAGGATATGTCTGTGTCCTAATTTTCGCTCATATTTGTTTGCTTATGGCTGTTTGTTACTTGCTATCTTGCAATTCGGCGGACTAGCGTTATCACATAGAGGAAGAGATAGGGGGCGGGCGGGCAGAGCGGCCGGCATCCGTGGCTCAGTATTGAGGGCTATCTCTTTAAGAGAGGCGGATCGGTGGATCGGTCGATCGATCGACCGATCGGCGGTTTGAATTGCCGTAAAACGGCCAAAGCAGCATAAATTACGGTAAAACCATATATTTTCGGAAAGAGGAAAGAAATAGGGACATGTTTTGTCAAAATATCGGTATTCTGGACACATTCTCAAAAACATAGGTTATACGAACTTTTCCTAAAATAATAGAAAGTACCGATATTTTTGGATAATCGGGTTCCTTGATATTTGATCCTTAATATTAGTAAAAACTATGGAGTATAGATGTTTAGAAATGGGGAATAAAGGCGTTTAAGACGTTTCTTCGTCTAGTCCGTCCGAAAGCGTTTAGTTTGCGTTTGCTGTGGTGCTGTAGCGTGTTTTGTTGTGCGCCTGCTTGCAACGGCCACCGCTGGGGGCGTTGCTGACGCCGATTGGGTTGCCCACATCCGAGGCGTAAAAGCGGTGATTTTCCTAGCCAGAAATTCAACAAAATTCATGTGTAATAGCTGAAAATTCACGTGTATTCCCTGTAATTACGTAATCTTGTGTACATCCTAAATCGAAGAGTTGTGGCCCCCTCGGTAATGTGAGGGACAGTAACGACTTCGATCTCATCATCACTGCCGGTGCCCAGGGGGCAGCCTTCTCCACACAGCTGCCTGGCGGGTCGGCCTACCCAACGCTTCGCAGGCGCTTTCACACCTCTCTACCCAGGAAACGTTAATTGTAAACGAACTTTGTACGCAGGCTGTGTCCTTGTCACATCTAAAACAGATACAAATTGGTATCAATGTTACATACAATGTAAAGAATTTTTACCTTCTACCTCCTAGTTACAATGTGTACCTACGCACTAACACTAACGTCTCTGATGAAGATGTGCACAGAGATACATCCAACCTAGCAAAACATTGTCCCTCCCCATGTGGAGTGCACCCAGTCTCGTTACATTCTGATCCGTGCGTGCTGTTGCGACTCTTCAGCACCACACAAGCAGAGGGCCATTTTGGCAATTAGGTAACGAATAATACACTAGCCTAGCGTGTTGGTAAAGGATGCCTCTTCGATCTTATTCCTCGGCCCACCCTCCAGGCCCACCCTCCAGGCCCGCCCTCCAGGCCCGCCCTCCAGGCCCGCCCTCCAGGCCCGCCCGGAGCCGTTGTGCCTCTTTGCCTGCGACATGCAGCTCACCTTCTCCCTGTCCTGGCTGAGCCTTGAAGAAAGTCAACAGCAGCGATTAGTGTTTCTCGTCATGCGGAGCAGGGTGCGTGAACTCTCTCCCTCCAAACGCGAACGGAAAAGCTAGAAGTACTATCAGTCGCAAAAGTTTTGACGGCTGAAATTGCGTGAAACCTTGCCTCCTCTATTCTCACGCATGGTGTCTGCTGAGTTGCATTGTGTGAGTGCAATTACGTGATTACAGGGATTACACCCACAATGCCCCAGAAATTCGCCGAATTTCATGTGTAAACCTTCAAAAAGTGTTCCTACTTTGTTTTTTGAAGAAACATATGTTTTTTGATCTTATATTTCCAGCTGCCTCTGTCTTTCGCGATATTGTTCCTCGCGTTTGTGTGCCTGGACACGGTGCGGCAGTCAGCCACCTCAGTCCAGTCGCTTCTGCAGTCCACCAGTAACTTTTTTATCGGCTACTCCACACTGCAGTGTGTACTCGTGACCCGCCACCCGCGGCTCTGGGTCCTGATGCGCGAGTTAAGGAGCCTGGTCCAGGTGATGAAGGCTGATCCGGGAGAAAAGGTGAGTAGATTCCATATTTTATCTCACTAAAGGTGATATTTTAAACCTCTTCGGGCGTCACTCGTACTTGGTAGTGCCTTGGTGCTTGTTCTCGAGGCCATTGCAAGCAAAGGCCAACTTACGGAAGTGGAAGTAAAGCACCTTTGGACTTTCGTGAGCAATCTTACCTTCCAATAAAGACTACCCGTAACACTTGATACAGACTAACCTTGCGTGGCCTCAATAACTTTTTTGTCAAGTTGTACACCAGACTGTCAAAATTGACAGATTGGTCGTGAAATGTTAATACTTTTGTTGTTCATAAAACTCATGTTACACCAGGCAAAACGCACTTGTACAGGGTGGGTGATCCGCCCCGTGTTTTTTTTTTCTGCTTATGCTGTACCGGATTCATGCGTGCCGGCGGGCGTGCCTACCGTCGCTCACCATGGCGCCCTATGGCCCCGTGCGAGTATGCAACCCGTCCGCACGCAAGAATCCGGCACAGTATAAGCAGAAAAAAAACACGGGGCGGATCACCCACCCAGTAAGGCATAACGCAGGGCTTTTGGACCCTAAATCAGAAGATTGCGGAATTGCGGAAGATTTGCCCTGGATTGCCAGGGTATGTGTACATCAGATTGCCCAAGGTAGGCTGCCTCGCTTAAGCGAACAATTTGACTAACGATTTGTTATTTGCCCGTCTGTATAGCTATTTTAAAATTAAAAACCTAGGATAAAATGGGTTTGGATACTCTGGCAATTAAAATGTGTACATGTATACTAATAAAGTGTACATGGCATGTACAGGGGGTCCAGAGACCCAAACCCTTATTTGCTTCTACTGTACCGGATGTAGGCGTGCGGCCGGGTTGCATACTTGCTCGGGGCCATAAGGCGCCGCGGTGAGCAAGGGTAGGCAAGCCCGCAGCCCGCCCGCTCGCCTGCATGCGGTATAGCATAAGCATGGTTTGTGGACCACCCTACTCTACCAGTTTATTCGATAATGACGTTATGCCGTTACTGTCTTCTCAATAACGTAGAGATCATTTTAAAAAACCACAGCAGGGCGAAGAAAGGGACAGTCCCCTCGAACAGGCCACAGAGCCGAGAGAGCGGAGGTGAGGGGGGGGGGGACAAAGCTGAGCGCAGCGGTCGCAATAGACACATCACGCCGGAGCCACTGCTGCCCTGTTCTAGAGGAGAAGCGAGGGGAGGGGGGGAGGGGGGGTCTGCTCCTGGTAAAGACAGTCGTATTGGGGTCAGTCTGAAAACAAAAACAACTAACAACCAACAACAACGCGGTATCTTAACGTTAAGTAAAACTTTAACGTAAATTCGTCATTCGTTAAAGTAACATTCCCGACCCTGCAGTGTTGTATTCTCTAAAACATTAACCTTGAACACACAGCCGTGGGCGGTACACACGAGACGGACCAGCGTTGTGCTGTCCGCGATCAGCACAACCTACATCGTTGTCCTCTACGTCCAAATGTGCCTGGACTTGCTGTTCTCCGAGGAGCCTTTCGTGCCACTGTGGCCGTTCGTGCCGTACGCTGGTGCCTGGGGCGCGCTCTTCGGCCGGCTCTTCTACGTCGTCTGTATACTCGTGTGGCTCCCAACCACCGTGTGCCTCGTCGTCGTCCTGATCCTGTCGCTCGCCGTGCCCACCGGGCTATACCACGCCCTGGCACAGCGGCTCAGGGTGACGGACGCCCCCGGCAGGACGCTGGACCTGGTGCAGGACGTGGTCGCCAAGCATCGGCGGCTGCGCCTCGTCACCCACGGCCTGACCCGCTACTTCTCGGCCAAGCTGGCGCACATGCAGATCGCCTCCTTCATCACCACAATATTCGCCTTCATCAGCGTAGGTTGGCCAGCAACGTCTGGAGAACATGGTGGCCTTTTTCTTCCTTTTTTTTTGGGGGGGGGGGGGGGGTTGCTCCGATCGCCGGACCATAGGTGCGCAAGCCGAGCGCAAGCCGAAGTGAAAAAAAGACACGCCTCGGAACACGCCGCCGACACGACGGGTGGTGACTTTTATGGCACGCAGAAAGACACAATTTATACAATGTGGTAAAAAGGACTACGAGAATCAATGTTAGAAATATAAATGAATTTGTAAATATGGCTTAAGAAATATCATCACCTAAAAACTAAACGAACTGAGACGGGTTCTTGTGGGAAAACCGTGTTCCTAAGGAAAACGTTCCTTTTACGAAGACCTCATTGTGACCTCAGAGGTCACGATTTTTGCACTTGTGAGGTCACCAGTGAGTTAAGTGCAAGCATCGTGACCTCGTAAATCATAAAAAGGTCACAACGAGGTCCTCGTGAGAACCCCGTTTTCCTTGGGATTTGAGCAGTTTTGGCCCGGTTACATGTTTCTTACTTGTGCATGATGACGCAAAACTGGAAGCTCAAGAGCTCCATGCGTGCAGTAATGATTCAGGATCAGGCAGGTTGTTGTTTAATTGTGTGTTAAAATGAAATTCAAAACCAGCAATTCCGTTTTGAACGAGTCTATTCTACAGCTCCACGGCAGCAGGGGCTGGGACGTAATGCACCCTTTTGTTAATACCCAGGTGATTTGTGGCGACGTGAGCTTCACGACGGCCGTTTTCCTGTTTCCCATCGTCAGCGACTTCCTCCAGTACTCGTACCTCAGCCAGGAGCTCTCCGACTCGAGCGCCTCTTTGGCAAGGTCCGCCTATCACGCCGCCACCGGCGGTAGCGTGAGCCTACCGGAGGCCCGTGCGCTAGCCCTCGTCATGCTGACAGCCAGCGCCACCCCCGCCCTGAGCTGCAGGGGAGTGGGGCGGCTCAGCCTCGCTGCAGCGGGAGAGGCTTTGGGCAAGGTGTGGAAGGTAGTCAGCCTGCTGCGCGACAAGCTTTAACGGCCGTTTTATACCGCAGGCCCGGACTAGTCCACCCCGAGTCGTCTCTAGTGAGCTTGGTGATCCGCCTGAACCTGAGCAATAGGACATTCGATCTATTATCAATTAAACGATTTATCGCCACCCCTCTCAGCGGTATGAAGGCTAGGAAAAATGAAATAAAAAGAGGAAAGGGAAACGTTCTTATCATTTTGCTAATATAAAAGTGATGTGTCATGACAGTGCAAGACCAGTAATTGGTAAAACAACAACACAAAATAGTTCATAAGTAGCTTGTTTTTAGCAGATGATACATTATACACAACTGAAAGTAATAATACTTTACTTAACTATGTATCATTGCTTGTACTCTCATGCGGAGCGCTGAGAGGCACCAGGCATGACGTCATCCAGTAGTCTGTAGGGCGCGGGATGCGGCCCCCGCGCTCCGACCGTGCCCATGCCGCACAGCCCATAGCCCTATACGCAGGCTCCCCTCCCCCTCCCCCTCCCTCCGGCAGACTCGGCTCGTCACTCGGCTCGAAGCGCAGCTCGGAGCTCGGCTTGGCGGCGCGGTAATTCAAACTCTCTATGAAGCGACAAAACTAAATGAATTCAGAAACATTATTTTCAAACCATTTCTCTATTGAGAAGTATCACTCGCAAACTGTCTCTACGCCCCTCTTCACACTAACTTGGTCTTAGACCCTTCAAAACATTACAAAGTATAGGAGACACAGAACACAACCCAAATCTTTTTGTGTATAAATACGTAATTAAATGTGAATCAAGATTTGTAAATTATCTATGTACTTCTGCAGAATGCGTCCTGTGATCTCCCACTGAAATATTATAGACTGGAATAATTCTTGAATTCGTATCATCTGCTTTCACGATCCGTTCCTGAACGGAACTTTTTTTTTTTTATTTTTGTGTTTATTCCAACTATCAGTTTAAACACTGTTGTAACTGCTGTAGATTTTTTTTACAGTGTACGACCAGATCAGCTCCTTCTGCGAGCTAGATCAGCTCCTTCTGCGAGCTCTCATAGCGCCCGGTAGGTAGGCCATATCTTGCTTATAGGGCATGTGTGTACTGCGGGGTGGCCTATGCTGAGTCTCGCAGGCGCCGAGCTCCCGCAATGTGCCAAATTAATCTGCGAAAAACAGACGTTCTTTTGGTCGTCAGACTGGGAGCGGTGTCGACATGTTCGTGATAAGGCACACTGAAGAGCACGTAACCTACCCAGTGAGAAATGATATCTCTCGAAACGATGTCAAAACGATCCGTTGCGTCGAAACGGTGTCATTTAACAATCATACTTTTTCATGATCTCAATTCTTACCGGTGTTTGCTTTGTCAAGACACCATCACCACTATTTACACTGATAAGAGGGATTTACGATACCTTCTGCTGTTTCATTTTTTCTCTGAAAGACTTTATTGATAAGATATAAAGTGAGTGTGGGGACGTAAATTCGACAGGCCGCCTCTTCTCCTTGCGCTCTGCGCTCCCCTTTTGCGCGCGGGGGCCCGCCACCTGTAGCGGCGCTACTCCGCGCACGCGGGCCCCGTCGAGTTCGCAGCTCCGCTTCCTTGCGTTGGCAGTAAGGAGGTGGGGCAGCAAACTCAAAAAAATCGTGTGCACATATATGCAAAAAAAATATAATAACAAATAAACAAACACAAAAAAATCCTCTAACATACAGAGAAATCTTCAGAAATATATGGAAATTAATACACGCGAAAATGTTTGAAAAATGCACAAGAAATACAGGTGAAGTGTACACACGATTTGACACCCCTCCGCCCCTTGGGGTTTCAAGCTTATCTTCCTCTACTGGAACAGATGGACACGAGGGCGTTGCACTGGATCGCTTTTCCACAGGAGAGCGGACTGAGAAAGGACGACACTTCAGTGCTAAGAACCCTCGAGTGGCCGCAAGCCTTTCCCCTGAAGAAGAACGAACATTATCGCACGGCAGAGACTTCCCCGTAAGGCTCGGGCGAGAGTGAGAAGACACTATTTTTGTTGTTTTTACTTGAAAGTCCTAATCTCATCCACACCACGTGTCATCTGCTGATCGTTGCACAACTTGCAGCCAAATTCATTCACCCAGACAATGTTATCCTTAAACCATGAAAATTTATTTTAAAAAAATACAAGCTAATTTTTGACCTTAGTTCAAGGTTTTTCCGTTATTTTCAAGGTAATTAAGTTGATTTAAGGAAATTTTTACTTTATTTTAACGCAGTTTGCCTTAAGTCAAAGACAATTTTCCTTGTATTTTTTGAGGAAAAAATAGCGTTGAAGCAACGCATATAGCCTTGTGACAAGGTTACCATTTTCTGGGTGTTCGGTGGGGTCCTCCTGAGGTGGGGATTTAGGGCTGTGCGGAGCGGGACTGACGCAAACAAAAACAGCTACCGGTGACACGGCTCGGATCTCCAGAAAACATGGACGGTTCATTCAGAGCGGAAGCGGAAGCAAGAGAAAACTTTCTTATAAAATTACTGTTTTATCATTTATTGATTTTTGACAAAGTAATACACGAACCAAGTCCGTCATTGGTTACCGCCCCACGCAAACGTACTGCAGGCCGGTGGCGGCGGCAGGCATGGAGGCGCAGGTGGCGCGCGCCTCGGCGCAGGTCGCGCAGGACGCCGCCTCGGCCGAGGGGTGCTTGCCGTAGGTCCGGTGCCGAGCGGTGAGCCAGTTGCTGCACACGTTGCAACTCCTGGGCGACAGGCCCACCACGTGCAGGGGCGTCGCGGGACGCAGCGCCGTGTCCCGGAACGCCGACTCGAATGCGGACGCTGGAACAATAGGGCGGCCGTGCCTTTCAAATGCAAACCTCAGCGCCGGCCCGGCACAATGGTGGGCGCGCCCAGAGGACTACTCACTCGAAGCTGGAACCCAGTCAACAAAGCAGCTCCCATTTACTTTTGGGAGGAGTTTGGGATCATCCCACACGAATCCCTCACACGTGCTACTGGGACATCCCAAAAGTACATGCCTTGGAGCAAATCAGGATGTCTTGTGCAGCACGACCACATGGACATCTTGGCCGGGATCTGATTGGGAGGTACTTTTGAGTTAAGGTACTGAGAAGTTACTCCTCAGGATATACCTGCGGTAAAGCTCCTTGGGTTGTCCCGCCGAGGAGCTACTCAGCATGTCATCGGGCAGTACGTAACATAACATGTCGTACGACAAAGGCAGCAGTTTTTGCACACGACGATCAGCAGGTTGAGTGCGGGCGTCACGGCGGGGTTTTCGTGGAGCACGCCCGGGATCGAGGCAGCGCTCAAAACCAGCCGGCGGGTCGGCCTAGCCAACGCTTCGCAGGCGCTTTCAAATCTCTCTACCCAGGAAACGTTAATTGTAAAGGAACTTTGTACGCAGGCTGTGTCCTTGTCACATCTAAAACAGATACAAAGTTGTATCAATGTTACATACAATGTAAAGAATTTTTACCTCCTAGGTACAATGTGTACTACAGACAAATTCGTATCTGATGAAGATGTGCACAGAGATACATCCAACCTAGCAAAACATTGTCCCTCCCCATGTGGAGTGCACCCAGTCTCGTTACATTCTGATCCGTG